AAAGAGATGGCATGTAGGAGGGATGATGGTAGTTTGTTGATTCTCCGGATTACTAAATGCTGGGGGTGAAGCTGAAAAGTAACATATGAGTATATTCCATAGCCATACAAACTAAGAAATGTATAAGATCTAAAATGAAGGGGCCGGGGAGATGGCTCAGTAGAATAGGTGCTTCCCTGGCAAGCGCAAGGACCCGAGTTCAATCCCCGGTTCCGCAAAAAAAATAATAAATAAAATAAAATGAAAAGGAAACATATGTATGAACAGTGGACTTTATGTCAATATCATAGCTGTGTTCTTGTGTACCATTTTGTAAAAGGCTGCCATTCAGAGAAACTGGGCAAAGAATATACAGAAGATCCGTCTGCATGGCATTTCTTAAAAGTTACATATGATTCTACAATTATTTCAATAAAAATTTCCACTTAATAACAGAGGGAGGGCCTGCTGATAGTTCAGCGGACTGAAGCGCCTGCTTAGTCCTGCCCCTGGGGCGTGCGGAGAAGACAGCTGGGACTGGGCGTGGTGACGCGTACCTGTAATCCCAGCACTTGGGAGGCTGAAAACAGAAAGATCACTACGAGTCAGATCTGTGTAGTGAGACCCTGTAAGACCTTGTACTAAAATACATTTTTTAAAAAAGAGGGAAAAGGTAATAATTCCTAATAATTAAGGGAAGCTTAATTTGCACAGTACCTAAATATCTGTTATGCCTTAACAAAGCACTGGAATGTTCCTGAGTAATAAGGAATAGAAAACTTGTCATTCCAACTACTCAGGAGGCTGAGGCAGGAGAATTGTGGGGTTTTCTTGGTTTGTTGTTGTATGTAGTAAAGGGTCTACAGGGTCTCACTATGTAAATCAAACTAATAGCGATTCTCCTATTTTCAGCTTCCCAAGTGCTGGGATTACGGGCATGTGCTACCACGCCCAGTCTCAGTGCCAGCTCAGCGTGCCCTGGGGGCAGAGCCAACACAGCACTCCAGGGATCAAACCCCGGCCACTGCGCTCTGCCTAAAAAGGCACTTTAGTCCGCTGAGTTATCTGGCCAGCCCTTGGAGAATTGTAGGTTTGATTCTGACTTGGGCAATTCAGCAAAATAAAAATAAAAATAAATTGAAAGATTGCTGGGGATGTAGCTTAGTGCTGGGATACTTGCCAAGCATCTGGGGCTCTAAGTTTAATACCCAATATGTGTCTGTGGGGGAGTAAAGAGTCATCATTCTATGACATATAAAGGTGAAACTCAGAACCTGCTTACTTCTTTCTTTTTCTTTTTTTCTTTCTTTCTTTTTTTTTTGCAGAACCGGGGATTGAACTCAAATCCTTGCGTTTGCCAGTCAAGTGCTTATCCTAAAAAAAAAAAAAAAAAGCTACTTAATTTTTTTTTTTTTTTTTTTTTTTTTCTTCTCTTTTCCTTTTT